CAATCATAGGGCTAACCCAAATAGACTATTCAATCCCAGGGCTAACCCAAATAGGCTATTCAATCCTAGGGCTAACCCAAATAAATGGACAGAGTGGGTAAGCAAAATAATAATCCCTGATACATTTCACAATATCTCACAATGCAATCTGCTGGATGTCTTAAAGCTGTCTAGATGTGTAGATGGAAGCATGTTTGGAAAAAACTCCCCCATCTCTCTCTCTCATTCTTCCTCTCTCTCCCTTCCTCTCTCCCTCCCTCCATCCCTCTCTCGCTCGCTCTCTCTCACTCCCTCGCTTCACCACCAAACCTCAAATACGCAAGCAAGCAGCTTATATAACAGACATCCAAAAACAGCCTGACTCATAACTTTGTCTGTGTACTGCCATGTTGCAGAAGGCTTTCACAGAGCTATTTTCACTGGCAGACACACACACACACACACACACACACACGCACACCACACCACAACCGCTATCATAACCCACAGAAAAGGGTCAATAAATGGATTTCAAAGGCACACACACACCCCAGAGGGAGTAGGATGAAGTTGCTCCTAACCTCTATTTCAGGGTTAGGCATGTTTTACCTCTACAGTGGATAAAGTAACAACTGGACATAGGGTAATCAGATCCCAGATCTGTGGTTAGGAGCAACTAATACTTGCAGCAAGGGGGGCTAAAGTACCACATCATTATCATCATTGACCCCAGTGGTTGGAATGGGATCAAAGCGGTTTAGCTGTCTTTAGCGCATTGTCTATGAAAGCTGGTTTAGCAGGGGCTAGGGTTAGCCTCGCATCTCTAATGTGTGCCGTAGTTATAAATGTTAATTCTGCTGCTGCTGGTGCTTTGATGTTTGAAGCAGTGCACACACTAGGGCTGGGCGATATATCGAGTTAATTCGATTAATTGAAATGTATGTTTTAGCGCAAAATTCCAAATGCCTGTATTTTATTTCCATTTTTATGAGCGTTTATGTCCGCTTGTTTTCATGTTGTCATTTTGGTCTCATCTCCTTCACTCCTTCTGTGCTGTGAGCACTTTCCCACTCACACACACAGACACCAAGCCCCTCCCCCTGCCACTTACAACAACAAAGATGAAAGGTCACGTCTTCCTCTCTGACAACAAGCAATTTCAACTCGCTATTGCATTTGAGGTTTGGTCCAACAGAATCGATCATATGGACACCGAAACAAATTGAGCCATTATTTTACTAGAATAAAGGAGAACTTAACCTCTCTAACGATATCCTGTTTATGTCTCAACTTCCAAAATTGACGCACAGCAGACCCTACTAAAATGGGATTATCAATGAACATTGATTCTGTAAAATGTATGCTCAGTTTCTGTTGTGCATGGCATTGACACAGACAAAGGGGGAAACTGGTTACTTAACAGTATCTTTTGGAGTTGCAGTACCATGTAGCATACCGCTAGCAGCCTTTTAGCCACAGAGTGTAATGTGCTAGCTCTCTAGTCTGTGTTTTATAAATGAGCAAATAACATAAAAAGACACATTTAAATAAGGAATTGGCAAATCCTCATTCTGAGAGATAAGCATATTCTTATCCAGGTATGCCACTTGATTTCAACATCTAAACAAAGTGGACAGGCTAGCATGCTGTTCAAACAGGAGGAGGGTGTGTTCATAACATTTCAACTGTTCTACCTTGTTAGCTAGATGTTGGCTAGACTGGAAATATAAAGATTAGCTGGCTACTCACTAGCATGCGGGATTGTGCTTGAGAGATTGTTTATGGGACGTGTTAATTTTCTATAATGCCTGCTACAAGAAGTTGGTCATTATTAGTGGATGTGCATTGTTATGGTAAAATTTGTAACAAAAAGGGCATGTTCATAGACAGACTTGAAAGCCAGATAAGTGATTATTGCAAAAAAGCAGGTTAAACCATTTTTATAAGATAATACATTAATACATTAGTAGTGATTATGGTTGTGGAAGGCTTATATTTAGCCTAGGTATAATTTTACAAGCCCTGAATTCATTAGATTATTGCTGACTATTTGAAATATAGTGTATTGACCTTTAATTGTGCCACAAAGCTTATAGAGAGAAAATAAATAAATACATACATACATTTTTTCATTTCACTTCACCAATTTTGACTATTTTGTGTATGTCCATTACATGAAATCCAAATTAAAATCCATTTAAATTACAGGTTGTAATGCAACAAAATAGGAAAAACACCAAGGGGGATGAATACTTTTGCAAGGCACTGTATCACCCAGCCCAAGCACACACACACACAGACACACACACACATGTTTTACTATCCTTGTGGGGACCAAACATTTGATTCCCATTCAAAATAATAAATGTCCCTAACCCCTAAACCTAACCCTAACTCTTCACCCCTAACCCTGATTCTAACCCTAATTGTAACCCCAAACCTAACCTCTAAGCCTAAAATAAGCTTTTTCCTTGTGGGGACAGTCGAAATGTGTTTTCCTCGTTCTACTATCCTTTTGAGGATAGTAAACACACACACACCGCTCTGTTTCATTTTGCAGTTCCTTGGCTCATTTTTGTAACTTAACTTCTCCAACATGAATCCTTGTTTTGTTTAAAAGAACTAGAAAACGACTTGTGCTAAACAATATTTGTCCTGCCAGCTAGCTCGCTGGTTAGTTGGATGTTGTCATCTGCAGCTGGCTCTGCAACACAAAGACTGATCCTGTCTACTGCTCTCCTCTAATTTCATCACTAAAGAGTTATTTGTGTGACCTTGCTGGACATCAAAGTCCTCATGACAAAGTCTAGATCGTAGTGGCACTTGAAGCAGCAGCTGTGTTATGGTGCAAGAGCGCTACCCCCTGTGCCAAAAAGCTCCATGGGTTTAATGTTCTCTCTTTCTGTCCCCCCCTCTCTCTCTGTCACTCGCTCTTTCTCTCTTTCTTTCTGCTTCTCTCTCAGTGGAGGCTGCCGAGGGGAGGATGGCTCATAATAATGTCTGGAATGGAGCGAATGGAATGGCATCAAACAAATGGTGACCATGTGTTTGATGTATTTGATACAATTCCACTAGTTCCGCTCCAGCCGTTACCATGAGCCCGTCCTCCCCAATTAAGATGCCACCAACCTCCTGTGCTCGCTGTCTGTCTCTGTGTCAGGGTTAATGATTAGTATACTGTATCTGGACCTTCCACTGCTGAGTGCATTACTAGAGAGAGAGAGAGAGAGAGAGAGAGAGAGAGAGAAGCGAGAGAGAGATAAGAGAGAGAGATAGAGAGCAATAGCTAGATTAGAGCATATCGCATCGATTTAGCTCGAATCTCTCTCTCTCGCATCCTCGCTCTCTCTAGCCTCTCTCTTCGCTACCTCTCTTTCTCGCTCCTCTCTCTCTCCTCTCTCCTCTCGCTCTCTCTCTCTCTTCTCTCTTCTCTCTCTCTCTCTCTCTCTCTCTGGGGTCTGCTCTCTCTCTCTCTCTGCTCGACTCTCTCTCTCTCTCGTCCTCTCTCTCTCTCCTCCTCTCTTTTTCAGCTCAACCACTCCACTCTAATAGCCTGTTACAGAATGGAGAGAGTTGAGTAGGGCAATTTCAACCAGACACACAGAGTGCCACTGATAGTAGAGGATTCATTCACTACAGCAACACTATAGTCTGGGGAAAATGACTGACATGCTAGAGATTTTGAGAGTGACTAAAGTTCAGGATCAGGATTCATGCATTAAACATGATCATTGTTATCATCATAAATGTGAGACTGAAGCTCCCCTTGACCCGTGTGTGTGTGTGTGCGTATGATTGTGTGTTTGCGTGTGTGTGACCTGATTCTGCTGGAGATTTCCTTGGACAGGACAGTAATGCCAAGCTGCTTGACGTATGAACAGCAAGTGTAGCCTTGAGGTTTCCAGAGACACACAACACCTAGCTGTCTGGAGACAGACTGAAGAGGAAGATATGTGGCCCCAAGGTTTACACTGACAGCATAGACTCAGTACTCTCTCACACACACACCACACACACGCACGCACAAACAGGCTTTGAGTGGGTGGCGTGTCTGTTTCAGGTGTGCATCAGATGTGTGTATGTGTATGTGTGTGTGTGTGTGTGTGTGTATGTGTGTGGTAGAGAGTGAGAGAGAATGTGTGTCTGTGCGCTTTGAATCGGCAGTGTGTGCGAGTGCGTGCTTTGAATACGTAGCGTGTCTGCTGACAGAACCTTGCATTGCTGCTCACATCTGATCAGGGAACTGACGATGACGGAGTCAATTTAGCGCAGAGCTCCAGTTTTGTGTCAGAAATAGAACAGAAGCTGTGAAGCTGGTGATTATAGTGATGAGAAAACGTCATGACTGTCCTTCAGCTAGCTGTAAACAGAGAGATGCAGCGCCCTCTCCCTCTCCCTCTCCATCTATCCCTCTATTTATCTCTTTCCCTCCTGCTCTCATCTTTCATTCAGCTGGCTATAAACAAAGATATACGCATCACCCTCTCTCTCTCTCTCTCCCTCTCTCTGTCTATCCCTCCATATCTCATTCAGCAGGCTGTAAACAGAGAGAAAAGAAATGCTTCCTGCACCTTCTACCACAGAGAGCCATGACTGTGTAGAGATGAATAGCCAGTCTGCAATACAGTGTGACACAGCGTGGCCATTCAGCCCAGATTACAATATGAACAGTATGGCCAGTGTGGTCTTTATCCAGGGAAAGGTCAAGCAGGGTGCTCCAGATCGCAAACGGTCACCACGCTAAAACACTCACACTAATGAACCACAGGGAGAGAGGGATGGGGGAGGGCGGGAAACATATGGAGAGACAAACAGAGGGTTCGAGAGAGAGGAAGGGAGGGAGCGGGACACAAACGTAAAGGATGGAGAGAGAAATAGAGGTAGGGAGGTTTAGGGAAGGAGAGAGAGAGGGTGAAAGAGAGAGGTTCAGTATAGAGTGTGAGCTATTGACCATTAACCGTTCAGTGACCTGAGTCCCTGAGGAGAATTAATGTCATCGTGTGTGTGCGTGTATGTGTGTGATGCTCAAAGGAGGTGACAGGAGGCCAGACGAGCCAGAACTGCTGCTGCAGCTGAAAACATCTGGGTCAGAAAAGCGCAACCAGATACAGTATCCCAGGCTAAAACGAAACAATGCCAGTATAGTAGAGGGGATTTGGTGAGCTGGGCTCCAGAGCTACATTTTCAGGACAAATTCACAATCGGAACACTTGTGGAATTTCACTGTCTGTCTGTCTCAATCTCCAGTAACTGTGTCAATCTGTCCCTATGTTTTCTCCAGAGTACAACATGGTATGTAAAGTGTATGTGTGTGTGTGTGTGTGTGTGTGTGTGTGTGTGTGTGTGTGTGTGTGTGTGTGTGTGTCTGTCAAAGCAAACGCTCCCCTCAGGTATAGCTTCAAATCATATCACATTTTATTAGTCACAAGCTTCATAAACAACAGGTGTAGACTAACAGTGAATGCTTACTTACGGGCCCTTCCCAACAATGCAGAAAGAAAGAAAATAGAGAAATAATAGAAAAGTAAAACACGTAATAATAAAAGTAATAATAAATACACAATGAGTAACGATAACTTGGCTATAAACAAGGGGTACCAGTACGAAGTCGATGTGTAGGGGTATGAGGATATTAACATAATTGTACATATAATACATGGACGTCAACAGGACCAAAAGTGACTAGTTTGGGTCAACAGTTGTGCAAAAAAAAAAAATTTAAACCCTTTCCCCTTATTTTTCCCCCTTTATTTCCAAAAAATTCTCTTCTCCGTTTTAAATTTCCCCAAAAATTTACTTTTCCGCCGGGAAATTTAGTTGTGTTGTTGACTTGCGCCCCGGGTTTGGGGAAGGAAAAAAAAAAAACAGGAAAAAAAAGGTGGGGGGCGAGAAGAGGGTGGGGGTGGGGAGGAGAGGAGAGAAGAGGAGAGAAAAGGAGGGAGGGACGAGGGGGAGAGGGGTGGAGAGAGAGAGGGGGAAAAGAGGAGAGAGGGGGGAAAAGGGGAAAAGGGGGAGGGAATAGGATAGAGAGAGAGGGGAAGGGGAGAGAGAGAAAAAAGGAAGGAAAAGAGAGGGGGGAAAGGGTAAAAGCCGAGCAGGAGAGAAGGGGAGAGTAGAGAGAGAGAAAAGCGAAAAGAGGGGGGAGGAGGGAGAGAGAGAAAGGGGGAGGTTCTTTTTATCTCTCTCTCTCTCTTTTGGAGTTCCTCTTCTCTATGAGAGTCTCATTTATTCATGCTGGTGGGGGGAGGCGCCATTTTCGTCGACTGCCAAGAACTCCTTAAAAATGAAAAAGTAACTCAGCCGCCTAGTTAAAGAAAATAAATGAAACAGCTCACTGCCTTGCTGCTACACTGGCTGATTTAAAGCCTGTTAAGATGGGAACCACTTACAGTGGGGGAAAAAAGTATTTAGTCAGCCACCAATTGTGCAAGTTCTCCCACTTAAAAAGATGAGAGAGGCCTGTAATTTTCATCATAGGTACATGTCAACTATGACAGACAAATTGAGAGAAAAAAATCCAGAAAATCACATTGTAGGATTTGTTATGAATTTATTTGCAAATTATGGTGGAAAATAAGTATTTGGTCACCTACAAACAAGCAAGATTTCTGGCTCTCACAGACCTGTAACTTCTTCTTTAAGAGGCTCCTCTGTCCTCCACTCGTTACCTGTATTAATGGCACCTGTTTGAACTTGTTATCAGTATAAAAGACACCTGTCCACAACCTCAAACAGTCACACTCCAAACTCCACTATGGCCAAGACCAAAGAGCTGTCAAAGGACACCAGAAACAAAATTGTAGACCTGCACCAGGCTGGGAAGACTGAATCTGCAATAGGTAAGCAGCTTGGTTTGAAGAAATCAACTGTGGGAGCAATTATTAGGAAATGGAAGACATACAAGACCACTGATAATCTCCCTCGATCTGGGGCTCCACCAAGATCTCACCCCGTGGGGTCAAAATGATCACAAGAACGGTGAGCAAAAATCCCAGAACCACACGGGGGGACCTAGTGAATGACCTGCAGAGAGCTGGGACCAAAGTAGCAAAGCCTACCATCAGTAACACACTACGCCGCCAGGGACTCAAATCCTACAGTGCCAGACGTGTCCCCCTGCTTAAGCCAGTACATGTCCAGGCCCGTCTGAAGTTTGCTAGAGTGCATTTGGATGATCCAGAAGAGGATTGGGAGAATGTCATATGGTCAGATGAAACCAAAATATAACTTTTTGGTAAAAACTCAACTCGTCGTGTTTGGAGGACAAAGAATGCTGAGTTGCATCCAAAGAACACCATACCTACTGTGAAGCATGGGGGTGGAAACATCATGCTTTGGGGCTGTTTTTCTGCAAAGGGACCAGGACGACTGATCCGTGTAAAGGAAAGAATGAATGGGGCCATGTCATTTTGAGTGAAAACCTCCTTACATCAGCAAGGGCATTGAAGATGAAACGTGGCTGGGTCTTTCAGCATGACAATGATCCCAAACACACCGCCCGGGCAACGAAGGAGTGGCTTTGTAAGAAGCATTTCAAGGTCCTGGAGTGGACTAGCCAGTCTCCAGATCTCAACCCCATAGAAAATCTTTGGAGGGAGTTGAAAGTCTGTGTTGCCCAGCGACAGCCCCAAAGCATCACTGCTCTAGAGGAGATCTGCATGGAGGAATGGGCCAAAATACCAGCAACAGTGTGTGAAAACCTTGTGAAGACTTACAGAAAACGTTTGACCTGTGTCATTGCCAACAAAGGGTATATAACAAAGTATTGAGAAACTTTTGTTATTGACCAAATACTTATTTTCCACCATAATTTGCAAATAAATTCATTAATAATCCTACAATGTGATTTTCTGGATTTTCTTTCCACATTTTGTCTGTCATAGTTGACGTGTACCTATGATGAGAATTACAGGCCTCTCTCATCTTTTTAAGTGGGAGAACTTGCACAATTGGTGGCTGACTAAATATTTTTTTCCCCACTGTATGTGAAATGTGTGTAGCGTCACTCCCACCACCCTAATGCAATGTGTGTGTACCTTCATGCTCACCCTAAGATATGTGGTTATTTATAACCAAGGCTTTCTCACTTAAAAATGTGCAGTGTTTTCATGCAAAGTTATGGTGTGTTTGTGTTGTGTTTTGTTTGGAGGCATGGTTGTCGACTCAACCCAGCAGCATCTACTTTGTTATCACTAGACCTCAAATCACTAGTCGCAAGGGTTACTCCTGGCTGTTGATTGATCAATGAATAACATTGATTGGCCAAATAGTTCACTCACCTTAGTGTCCCAGGTCTAAATCAGTCCTTGATCAGGTGGTGAGAACCAGAACTGTTTTGGTCCTCCAGGACAGTAATTGAATAGCCCTGACTCCTGGCCTGCTGTATTCACATCCACTATCCTGGCTGGAGTTAGTGAACTGGACTATTGGGATGAGTTTGAGAGACAGGAAGGCTCAGTCAGCATGTTTATCCATTACAGTAGTATACTCTCTCTCTCAGTCTCTAAGGTTGTCACTCACCATAACCTGACATCTCTCCTTGCTGCTCAGGAATGACACTTGAATCATGCAGCTCAGGACCCCCTCACTTTCTCTACAACAATCCTTATCTCTCGCTTGCTCGCTCGCTATCTCTCTATCTCTCTCTCTCACTCTCACGTAATCTCAGACACTCACCTAGCAACTCTCCTAGGATCCCAGCCCCACTCCCTCCCTCTCCTCTCGTTGTCTCTCTCTCTCTCTCCACCTCTCTCTCACTTTCAACACTCCCCTAGCATTTCTCTTAGGTTCTCAACCCCCACACTTCTCCTCCTATCCTATCCTACCTCTCTCTCTCCACCTCTCTCTCACTTTCAAACACTCCCCTAGCATTTCTCTTAGGTTCTCAACCCCCACCCTTCTCCTCCTATCCTACCTCTCTCTCTCTCTCCTCTGACGCAGCTCTGTCTGTCTGCCCCAGGGGCTGTTCCACTCATTTTAGCCTGGCACTGAAGCAGAGGCACAGATGGGTCTCTTTCTTGTTATTCTCATTTTTATGCCAAAATGCTCCCTCTCTCCTCCCCCCTTTCCCATTTTCACCTTCCTCCTCCCCCCGTTCCCCCTCTCTCCTCCCCCCTTCTCCTTCCTCCCCTAGTCCCCTTCCCTTTCCCTCTTGTTCCCTCTGTCTCTCCTTGTATCCATCCTCATTCCATCCTTTTCTCCATCTTACCGCTCCTTCCAACACTTTTTCTCTCTCCTCTCCTTCCCTCCTTTCCTAGATCTCTCCTCTCCTTTCCTCCTTTCCCTACTCACTCCTTTCCTCTGTCTCTCCTCTTCGTCTCTCCTTTGCTTTCCTCCTCACTCCTTGCTTCCCTCCCTTGCCTTTTGTGTGACATTTCACATCTTTCTCCTTATCCCAGACTTACAGCCATAGTAAACGTATGACTTAAGAAAAGAACGGCGAGAGTGTTCTCCTTTGTTGGCATTTACTGGCTACAATAGTCAAGGCTGGAGTGAGTTGAGCTGTACGTGCGTGTGTGTTTGTCTTTGTGTGTGTGTGTGTGTGTGTGTGTGTGTGTGTGCCGGCGCGGCACGGTGAAGGTCAGTGGAGAGAGAGAGCCTCAGTGGGCTGTGATAAATGCAGTAAGATGGGGAGTAGGCAGACCCAACGCTGTAGGCACACACACACACACACACACACACACACACACACACACACAGACAAACACACACATACACACATTTTTATAACAGTAGCAGCAGACTCTGGTCTAGCTGTGTATATGTATACATGTCTCATTAGGTTTGGTTTATGCTATTAATGCTACTCTAGATGAGAAGGTTGGGGTTTCGTCTCCTTTAGTATATTTAACTCCTTTACAGTCTAGGATAGAGGGTTTTTCAATCAATCACATGATCTACAGCTGGATTGGCCTGCAGTGGTTTATCCTGCTCCAGTGTTCTTTGTCGTGAGCTATGTAAATCAAACAGAATTGTGGTTTTATTTATTGATGCCTTGAGTGATTGATGACTATACTATCTCAAAGATGCTCTGCGCTCATTGGTTGATAAACTGATAATGAATTGGTTGATTGATTGTCTCAAGATTGACTCTTGAGTATCTGCCATGTGAGAGCCTCTGTGGTGGTGTATGATGGTTCAAATTGATCAGTTGATTGAATGATAAACGAATTGACTGCTTGTTTCTCTCTTCCCCTTAGTGAGCAGAGTATCTGCCAGGCGCGAGCCTCCGTCATGGTATATGATGACGGCAGTAAGAAGTGGGTTCCCATCAAGCCAGGCCAGCAGGGTTTCAGCCGCATCAACATTCTACCACAACACTGCCAACCAACAACCTTCCGCGTGGTGGGAGTCCAAACTACAGGAACCAGCAGGGTTATGAGGTACACACACACACACACACACACACACACACCCCCACACATTGATCTGAAATGGCCTTGAAGGTTAACCATCGGACTCTCTCCATATCGCGCCACCTCTTCCATCTCCCACGCTCCATATCGCACCACTCTCCATATCTCACCAACCTCTCCATCCTCACCACCTCTCCATCTGCGCCACCTGCTCATCTCACCACCTACTCCATACTCACCACCTCTCCCTTCTCACCATCCTCGCCACATCTCGACATAATCAACCACCTCTCCACCTCTCACATCTCGCCACCGCTCAATCTCACCCACCTCTCCAATGCTCACCACCTATTCTACATCTGCGCCACCTCTCCATCTCACCACCTCTCCATCTCACCACCTCTCCATCTCCACTGCTCCATCTCACCACCTCTCCATCTCACCACCTCTCCATCTCTCCATCTCGCCACCGCTCCATCTCACCACTCCATCTCACCACCTCTCCATCTCACCACCTCATCCCATCTCGCCACCTCTCCATCTCCCACCCTCAACTCTCCATCTCACCACCTCTCCATCTCACCACCTCTCCATCTCACCACCTCCATTCGCCACCTCTCCATCTCGCCACCGCTCCATCTCACCACCTCTCCATCTCACCACCTCTCCATCTCACCACCTCCACCTCTCCATCTCGCCACCGCTCCATCCACACCACACACTCTCCATCTCACACACCTCTCCATCTCCCACCCCACCTCTCCATGCCATCGACCCCAACCATCTCCATCTCACCACTCCATCTCCCACCTCACCAACACCCTCCCATCTCAACCACCTCTCCATCTCACCACCTCTCCATCTCACCACCTCTCCATCTCACCACTATCACATCTCACCACCTCTCCATCTCACCACTCTCCATCTCACCAAATCTCCATCTCACCACATCTACCATCTCACACACTCTCCATCTCACCACACTCTCCATATCGACCACCTCTCCACCACCTCTCCATCTCACCACCTCTCCATCTCACCACCTCTCCATCTCACCACCTCTCCATCTCACCACCTCTCCATTGCTCCATCTCACCACCTCTCCATCTCACCACCTCTCCATCTCTCCATCTATCCATATCTCCATCTCTCCTCTCCAGGTGGTAATCAACTACTCCATAGTGAAGGGTCTGAAGTATAACCAGGCCACGCCCACCTTCCACCAGTGGCGTGATGCCCGACAGGTCTACGGACTCAACTTCGCCAGCAAGGAGGAAGCTACCACTTTCTCCAATGCCATGCTGTTCGCTCTCAATGTCCTCAGCACTCAGGACGGAGGTGAGAGAGAGAGTGTGTGTAAGGGAGATGGGGTGTGTGTGCGTGCGTGCATGCATGCGTATGTGCTTGCGTTTACTGTTTTGAATGGCTTGATTACAACACGATTGTCACTGACCTACTTCTCTACTAACTTGTACCTAGTGAAGGATGTTTGTGGAGAATTAGGTTTGAAATAGACTAATAGAACATTTGCCAGCTTGCAGTTGGCTGATCAGATGTGTTCTGTTTTTAAACTGTAATGTGCTAACGAGATGAAGTATATGCAGTTTGACTCTGACAGACGGACCAGGGTATCTAAGGTCACCAGAGACCGGATTTTCAATACTAATGAAGCAGTTTGGCTCACAGACACACACACACCCAAACACACACGCACATGTGGTCCTCTGTAGCTCAGCTGGTAGAGCACGGCGCTTGTAACGCCAAGGTAGTGGGTTCGATCCCCGGGACCACCCATTCACAAAAAAATGTATGCACGCATGACTGTAAGTCGCTTTGGATAAAAGCGTCTGCTAAATGGCATATTATTATTATTTATTATTATACAGACATGCATGCATGCACGCACACACACAGACATGCACGCACCCATGATGCACACAGACACACACAAACATGCACACACACACACGCAAACACACACACACCGACATGCAAACACACACACATACATGCACACAGACACACACACACAGGTTAAACCTTATGGGTCTCACAACATGACAGTCAGTCAGGCAGGCTCTTTGTTTGCTTGGCTGTGTGTGTGTGTGTGTGTGTGTGTGTGTGTGTGTGTGTGTGTGTGTGTGTGTGTGTGTGTGTGTGCACATGCATACTTGCGTGTGTGTGTAGCCGCTGTGAGTCAAGCCCAGTGTGTGTCTGTATGTGAGGCCCAGGGTGTTAATAGGTCTTTAACCCCAATAGGGGCGACAGGGGGGCAACAACAGGCAGGTTACGGTGGCGTGACCAAACATAGAGAACATGAATTGGGAAAGCCCTACAGATGTAGGATCTTCATTTGATCACTCTTTTGTTGCTGAGAATTTTCCTGCACAGCTGGAAATGCAAACGTGTAGTGTATTCAAGGTTTAAAAAGGCTTCTAAAGTTTCTAATCTTCGCTTTAAAATGTCAGGCTTGATTTGCCCTAATGAAAAAGGTATCAACCCCTACAAAATATTTCCATTAATTATAATCCACATAATAATTCACATTTCCTCTTGCTGCAGGATTATTTTCCTGCTGTAGCAAACTGGCTCAATTTAAGATTCTACATCTGTACCCTATATTCTGTCAATCTAATTAATTATGGCAAGAAGGGAAAGGTCTGTCATGCGAGATGAGGTCAATTCCATTTCAATTCAGTCAATCTGAGGTTTGAACGGGTGGCACTTACTTTCAATAACCCCATTTTCCGATTGGTATTTCAATTCACTTGGACTGAATGGACTGATTTGAAAACGGACTTGACCCTAAAATGGTGAAGGGGCTGACAGGGAGAAA